ACAAAAGAGAAGAAGATCTCCTTGCACTTTTTGGTCTAGGAAGTGTTACCTAAGAAGAATCTGCTACTTAAGAAAGATGGGGCTAATTCACCGGGAGATGGCTCTGGGGAAGAGCTTTGTAGAGCAGGAAAGATATGTGGTAGACTATGCTGAGATATAGCTACTTTCCCTCTCATATGGTGCATCTATAGAATTTTTAAAAAATACTTTATTTATTGGTTTTATACTCAATAATATCATACAATATATATAATAAATCTTTACTAAATATTACCATTATTAAACCACAAACTTTTCAACCCACCTCTGCCCTCCCTTCTCCTTCTCCAATGGTTATTAACAATTTAGTATCCAGTACCTATAATGTGGAATTTCTTATTAATAGTTTCCCCAACATCATTGTACCCCTTTTCAGCTTTGAATTTCTTAATCCAAAATGCCCATTTGTCGCACCAGATCATTTTCTTTATTTGACCACTATATTTTCCTTTTCTGTCCCTTAAATAATCAAAAAAAGAAATTTTCTGCAATATAATGCAACCAGTTCTTCCCCGCCAACAGTTTGTTTTTCAATCCTAATGCTATTACAGCATGTGCTGCTCTTGAAAGATTTTTCTTATTACACAATCTTCTGTCTTATTTTTATTCATCATTGCAATCTGGTGTGGGGTTTTATACCACTTACTAATTAACTCTCGTCATTGTTCTCTAATTTTTATATTTTTAATTTTAATAATCTGGGAGATCCAAAATGTTTGGTTTTCTGTATTTATCTTCAAATTTTTCTCACATATATCCATCAATCCTTCCACTATTCTATGTATAGTGTAAAAAATAATGCAGTTTAACACTACTTCAACTGCCATGGCTCCATTCTACAGAACCTTGGAATTTATAGTTTTGTGAGACTCCAACATTCCTTGGCAGAGAAGGCTAAAGACCTTGTAAAACTACATATTCTAGGATTCCATAGGACGGAGCTAATACACTTAAAGTTGTGTCAAACTGCATTATTTCTAAGTGTAGATGCACCCATCATTTTCTTAAAGAGGCTAACACAAGTGTGGCAGTCTGAATTACATTTTCTAATCCCCGTCACTACAACTGTACCAGCAAGAGAAGAATTCTGCTCTTTCTCAGATCACACTTTGTTTATTGCATTGTTTATTGAAGACACACAGCTGCAACCTAACACTACATTTCTCCAGAGCCCCTTCCCTATTCTCCCAATTTTGATTCTGCTAAAAACATTGCATCTAGAAAGGATAAGGAAGAAGAGGAAGGCTCACTAGGCAAGCATAAAAAGCCTTTGTAAAAAAAGAAGTTCCACTGTCAAATCTTTTGTTAAATGAAGTAGGCTAGTATTAATTATAAATTGCATGAAGAAGTCTGTCTTCTCTTTTTTCCCCATAGTTAAAGTCCAATCCACACTGCAAAAATAATGCAGTCTGAGACCATTTTAACTGCCCTGGCTCAGTGCTAGGGATTCCTGGGAATAATAGTTTATTGTGTCCCCAGAGCTCTCTGATAGAGAAAGCTAAATGTCTCACAAAACTACAGTTCTCAGAATTCCCTAGCATTGAGCCAGGGCAGTTACAACAGTGTCAAACTGGATTATTTCTGCAGTGTAGATTGGACCTACAACTCAAAAAGATCCAGCATTTCCATATTAGGGCAATGCATCAAGACCTTGATTATTCTGGTTTGTTCTCTTCCAGAGCCTGGAAAAAGTCAGTTTGGTGTTATTTTTAACTACATTTCGCAGTGGCTGAGGGATCCCGGGATTTATAATCCCAAAAAAGGAAACTCTCTAAATTTTGTTCTTTTCTGTATCCCAAACATCTACTGGTTAAGGTCTAATTGCTGCATTTTACAACAACACAGTTTTATGTGAACAAAGATAGATTTCTAGGTGCAAGTCATTCTGCTTTCAGAACTGGAACTGCTCCATTTGGGATTACAAACAATTCATTACTTACAGACCCACAAAAGAAACCAGACTGTGGCTGCTGCCACACTACAGAATTAATGCAATTTGACACCACTTTTAACTGCCATGGCTCCATCCTATGGAAACCTGGGATTTGTAGTGGCACCAGAAGGCAACCTATCTCACAAAAATATAAATCCCAAAATTCCATAGGACTGAGCCATGGCAGCTAAAGTGGTATCCAACTGCATTATTTCTGCAGTGCAGATGCAGCCTGTGTTAGACCCATCTAAAACTTATCAGGATGAATGGTGGAACTTGTGACATTTCAGGTGCAAGCTAATCCATCACTTAACCTGTTTATATGTGTTGGCTGTCATATCTGCACAGAGGTTCACCCGTCCAGAAGGGTCCACGAAGACCACTTGGAACGCTTCATGGAAGTCTATCAGTGTAGGCTAGAAGAAGAGAAAGAGGCTGTGATTTAGAAGCCCGTGAAGAGCTTAAATGCAGGCACCAACAGTAGCAAGTGGCTTCCATTCCAGCAGAGTGGTGGTGAATCTGCCCCAGAGTTTGACAGGGCTGTCCAAGATGCTAAATCTATTCTTGGGAAAAGGGGTTTAGGACCTCAGGCAAGTTCCTTCAAAGTTCAGATCATAGAATCGGGAGAAACCACAATGGTCATCCAGTCCAACTCCCTGCTGTGCAGAAAGACACAATCCAAGGGCTCTCTGTGACAGATGGCCATCCAGCTTCTGTTTAAAAACCACCAAAAGAGACTCCGCCACACTCCAAAGGAGTGTCTTCCACTGTCAAACCGTTCTTACTGTCAGGAGGTTCTTCCTAATGTTGAGGTAGAATCTCTTTTCCTTTAGTTTGAATCTACTGCTCTGTGTCCCAATTTCTGGAGCAGCAGAAAACAAGCTTGCCCCGTCCTGGTGGCACAGTGCAGCCCTGGTGGCACAGTGGTTAAATGCCTGTACTGCAGCCACTCACTCATAAACTACAAGGTTGTGAGTTCAATACTAGCCAGGGCTCAGGCTTGACTCAGGCTTGCATCTTTCTGAGGTCGCTAAAATGAGTACCCAACTGTTCGGGGGCAATGAGCTTACAGTTGGAAACCGCTTAGACACTGCATAATGAGGTATGAAGCCGTATATAAATGAAGCTGCTTAATATGACATCCCTTTAAATGGTTAACATGTCATCCCTTAAACTTCTCTTCCACAGGCTAAACATACCCAGCTCCTTAAGCCATTCCTCATAGATGATTTTGAGTTATTTCTGCTGTTTGAAAGAGGAACAACTTGCATGCAAAACCCTGAAAATGGATCTGGTGGCTTGGGTGGTCTTCTGGGCCACAAAACAGGACCCCCGAAAGCCACACCCAGCCCATGGGCTGCAATTTACAATGCGAAAATGCACAAAAATCTGACAAGGAAGTCTGGATAACGCTGACAAAAAGAGTCTCTTTAATTGACATTTGGGCCTCTTTGTTTCATCCCAAATACTATTGCACATAGTTTTTAAATCTTTCAAATCTTTTAAATCTGTTTTTAATGCATTCTGATGTTTAATATATAGTCCGGTCTCCGTATCTGCAGACTTGCCATCTTATGCGACCCTAATCCGATGCTTTTACTTTTGTATTTTTTTAATTTTATATATTTTTAAAAGGGGTTTAACTGTTATTTATTAGTATTGTTTAGTATTGTTTATTTTGGGCATGTTTTATTTAAATTTAATTTTATATGTAAGCCGCCTTGATTGCCACGGCAAAAGGCGGGATATAAAAATAAGAGGAGGAGGAAGAGTGGAGAAGAGGAGGAGGAAGTAAAGGAGGGTGAGCAGTGGCAGGGCGACGGAGGGGGTAAGAGGAGGAGGAAAGCAGAGGAGGCAGGTTAAGAGGAGGAGGAGGAGGAGGAGGAAGAGCCATGGCAATGGTGATGGGGGAAGAAGAGGAAGAGGAGAAGATGAGGAGGAAGGAAGAGGAAGCAGGAAAGAGAAAGAGGAAGAGAATGAGCCACAGCAGCAGCAATGGGGGAAGAGGAGGAGGCAGGGAAGAGGAAGAAGAGGTACCCCATGTCACCCGCCACGATAAGAGCAGTGAAGCTGGCATCACTGGGGGTGGTGCGCAAAGTGCCATTATCCTCAATGGTGGCGCTGCCATGTGGCTTCGCCACCACTGATTACTATGGGACTAGAGCATCCGTGGATTTTTGTAGCCACGGGGTGTAGCCATGTATACCGAGGGCCCACTGTATTTTTAGCTTACTTAATTTCTTTTTTATCGTTTTAAGCTGTCTATCTTGTTTTAATGTTATCTGTAAGCTGCCCTGAGACCTTTTGATAGAGACAACTGGTAATACATTGGTCTTAACCAAACAATGCAAGCATCAAAAGGAGATTTTTCTTCTCTTACCATTGTGACATCTCCATCTTTAGAAAGGCTGACTCCAGAGGTACTGAGGTCTGTGGTAGCTAGGAAGGAAGAGAAACACATTTGTTGTTTTTGTTACGTGTTGTTTAATCGACTTCGACGTATGGTGACCCTATGAATGAAAGACCTCCAAGTCCCCCTGTGATCAACTGCCCTCCTCAAGTCTTGCAGACTCAGGGCAATTGTGGCTTAAAGTCTATCCGTCTGGAATATGGTCTTCCTACTGCCTTCCACCTCACCAAGCATTATTGTCTTTTGTAGTGAGTCATGTAGTCTCATGATATGGCCAACGTACAACTGTCTCACTTTAACCATGTTGGATTCTGGGAAGAGTTCAGGGTTGATAGCTCTAGGATCGTTTTTTGGGGTTTTGCCTTTCTAGCACTCCAAAGTATCCACAGAACTCTTCTCCAGCATCACACTTCAAACGAGTTGATTTGCTTCCTATCAGCTTTCTTCACTGTCCAGTTTTTGTTGTTGTGTGTATTCAAGTCGTTTCCAACTTATGCAACCCTAAGGCAAATCTATTACAGGGCTTTCTTGACAAGGTTTGTTCAGAGAGGTTTTTCCTTTGCCTTCCCCTGAGGCTAAGAGAGTGTGACTTGCCCAAGCTCATTCAGTCAGTTTCCATGGCTGAGCATGGATTCGAACCCTGGTCTCCAGAGTCCTAGTCCAACATTCAAACCACAACACCATACAGGCACATACAATCAAACTATTCCTTAGGTCCCGAAGTAGAAAACTGAAGACCATGGAGGGGTCAATATTTGCCCCTGTACCAAGCCACATCCCTTGAAAATCATCTAATAGGTAGCCAAAAATGAAACCAAAAGTAATTTCCAGTTTCAGCTAAGTTTTTTTCTTTTTCCTTTTTCAAGAAGCAGATAGGATTTCATTAATCCTGGAGGCCTCCAACACTGTTGGCCTATTGATAAGTTTGCTCACCCTTGCCTTACGGCTTGCAAAAGCAAAATCCTTTAATGGGAAAAGAGATCCCTCTATTGCCAATGTCAAACGCGAGCTGCAGTCACAGCAGTTGAAGAGAATGCCCTTCTCCCAAAATCACACAGGCCAAGAAAGTCATGAACCTCACACAAACACCAGCAAGCAAAGGGTGCAATCCAGGAAAGACTTTTACCACCTGACTTCATCAGGTGATGTGATCTACCTATAGGCCATGAAAGAAAATCCCTGGGGCAGCATGAAGACCGTATTGCTGTTTTGGGGTCCTTGCCCTCTCCAGATTCTCTTGGCTGTTGTTCTTCTAGGACCCCTCTCCTGGAAGCTTCCATACATGGCAGCTCACTTCTTAAATAGATGGCAGAACCTCTGCAGTACAGTAAGACTCCTGTATCCAAGAGGATACGTTCCCATATTTACCATGGAAATGCAAAACTGCAGATATTGAAATGAAGGACTCCCAGGGGAAATTGACTATATAGTTGCTCTAGAGAAACACCTCTCTAGGCATTTCTAGGTCCTCCAGTGTTAACTCTATGGTCAATTTCTGCCAGAGGTATATCACAGAGTCATGTTGGCAAACTTAGAAAATGCCTAAAGAGAACATTTTTTTTCAGACATGGATAAGGGAAACTACAGGTACTGGCCATACTGTACTTAATCTCAAAATAAATACCAAAACAGACTTCCAGCCATTTCCAGATGTTTCTTTTCAGCATTTCCCTATCGTGTCCCCATTTCCAGATGTTTCTTTTCTTACATCCCTATCGTGGCCCCATCATGTTGATGGATGGGAAATGCAACAGAGACCAATCAGGGTACCGTAACCTGCCCAAGTATGTTTTAAGTTTTTATACTGTTATGTTTTCATTCTATAGTTATTGTAATTTTAATTATATGTCATTTAATACTGTTTTAGGGGGATAGGGTTGGTTTGGATAA